TTCCGTAACGCTGAGTCTGTATGCAAGGCTCTAGCGGAACTTTCCTAGTAGACCGTTTGCAACGGGATGATAAATATTGAATTATGTTGTGTGATATTCACACAAGGTTGCACTTGTTAACGTTGCACTATTAAATGTTGACATTTTGTTTTGTAAATATAAACACGTGAACGAGACTTTTTAATGATAAATGAGTACGTTTAGGAAAGGTCGTTTTACGTGGTTGAAATTATCCGCACCATACAGATAAATATGTCTGAAGTTTAAACCTGTCTATCGTATTAACAACGCATTTATTTGATATAAAGTACATTAATGAATACTTCATTTAATAATTTATTTGATTATCTATAGTTCATTATACAAGTCTCTATGGGCGCGTCATTTGTTACTTTGATATTGGGTATGATTAACCTTCGTTCTTTAAGATCTTAAAGGCCGGTTTATACTCCGCTAAGCGAAGCAGCGAAGCGCATATTTTTTCTTCTCTCGAGCGTAGCAGGCTTTAAAGCTCAGCTATGAAGCGAAGTTTCACCTTCGCAAGTCCATTTTCAAGATAGGCGAAGGAGCAGGATGTGGTCTTACTGCTTTGCTTCATTTTGGTCTTTGCAATCAAGCAGAGACAGACGAAACAAACTAGCGTTGACAGATTTGTCTTGATATAGCGAAGCTAAGCGATAGCAAATTAAAGCTTCGCTTCTTTGCTAAATTTTTAATGACAATACACCAAGCTTAGTTTTTTCTTTGGTTATCCATCTTGGTTCCTAAGTTACAAGTTATAAGATCACTTGACAATTGGAAATTGAAAAGGAGTATAAAGTACAACTAACTCTTTTATGTTGCTTAGCACAAAACGGTGCTTCGTGGGATCAGTTAGGTCAGAGGACTGAATTTTTTAATTTAATGGAACATCACTAAGATAAGATTTATTTTTAAAATTAAAGGAATTGTAAAGAGTTCTTTTTTTTTTAAATTATGTATATCGGGGACGCTGATATCATCAATTTGCATATTCCAATTTTCAATTAGACGTCTGTCTTTCCTGCAATTCCACTAAAACAAAATGTTAGATCTTAGCTATTAGTGACGTCACAAAACGCTACGACTGAACCTTGTTGAGCTTTGCGATCCCACAATTGAAACGGGACCTACATGACACGCTTTGATTGGTTTATATATAACGTCATTAAAGCCGTAGAAAACTTGTTAGATTACAATGAAGACATAGAAATAACGAATTAGTTATTTAATCAGATTGAGAGTAAGTATAAGCATTTTAGTAACAGAACAGAACAGAACAGAAATGCGAAGATGGCCAATTTCAGCCACCATAAATATGTATGATTAATAAAATATTGTATAAATCGTGTGACAGATCTACTGATTTTATTATGAATGGGGTGATTTTTTTAAGTGTTTACGAATAATTATGATTCACACCGCAGGGATCTGACGCATAAATTATGGAATGAAGCATCATGAATAAAGAAAATTCCTGTGGAATGTACAGGTGAATTGTTATTGTTGATTAGCATCTTGACACACAATACAACAGCATGAAACTGTGGAAGCCATTAGTGGCTATAATTTTCTTCTCTCCACTCATGAGAGAAGGCATGCAGATTTAATGTGAAACGTTGGGGAAAATAATTCTCGAATTCTCGCTCTATTTTCCTTGTGTTCTGGTCCTTTTCTTGCCAGCTCGGTTTATCTTCCAGCCTTAGCCAAGAGTTTGCGATTCAAGAAAATGGTACTTGGCCGTTACCAGCCTCCATATTGAAGTTCTATACTTTTATTTTTCTTCACTCTTCCTATCTGATCTACATACCTATCAATAAGAGAATTGTTCCTTTGTGGTCAGAGAATAGGGTGTCAAGAAATACTACAAGCTAGGCTGATTTCTATCAATGAATGGACGTCAATCAAAATCAAATTAAAAATGTATGATTTTCAGATAAAAGTGAAAGGGAAAGGGATTGTAAAGAGGTTTAGCCTATGTAAAGATAAAGAAGTCATGTTCCAAGTTGTTTTATTATCATTATTATTGTCGATGATAAGACCACATGAAAAGGGAACTCATTGGTTTTCCAATTCGATCAGTTTATATATTATGTTACCATTTCAGGTAGTAAACATGCTAATCATTTCTTTTCATTTTCGGTTTGGTAACATGATAACTGGTTACTGGTAGATTTAATTCTATAAACCAAGTAAATTACATTGTGGGTCTATTGTACCAGTGGGAATCGCTGAAAAATAGAGAAAACATGACTTAACATAAGATAAGAACAACCACCCAAATGGATAAAAGACTCTCTTCAACACTTCCGAATCACGTGATTTTCAAATTGACCAATCAACACGCTTCCACATATTGCTTGGTTTTT